ACTAGCAGTGGTTCAACAGCCAACACTGACAACAATAAAGGGTTTCTTTCTTTGTTTTTTTTTAAACTTCAGGGGAAATTTGGGCTTTTGACTTTAAAAATTAATATTAGCCAATGATCAAGGGACTACAATGCAATTTTGAAGCCAATTGACCTTAGCTAGTATTAATATTCCTTAGCGGTCCATGAATAACTCAGGTAGAAGAAAACCTTTGAACGAGCAAAAGCATATTCCCATATAATTATTATTCTTGTATATATACTGGTGTAATATGGGATAAAATATAATTAAGTTTAATTTAGGATACTAAGATTATCCAGTAGGGATATTTAAATAAGGATATTGATTCATTATATTAACTTTGATTATTTATTTTATTGTTATCTTAGATGTCAATATTTTTAATGTTTGATTTAGATTTAGGATTTGGAATTTGAATTAAATTATTAATATTTTATTATTTTTAGATCTCTATAAATAAAGTTAGGTTTTTCATTTATATTCAACTTTGAGTATTATTGAATAAGAGTTTTTGAGAGTTTCTGCCTTATCTCTGCTTCTTTCTCTTCCTCATCCTTTCTCTTTATCTCTTCCCCATTTTCTTCTCGTTTTACATTAATTTGATATCAAGCTAGGTTCCATCACACTCTTGTTGCCAATCTCACTTAGAAAGTACAACTTTTGGAGGTCTAAATAAGATATAACAAACTCACTATTCAATGTCACTTGACTGGAGTGCCTTTCATCACCTTTCACAAGTTTGCTCACATCAGATCTTTGAGGTTTGCAATTTCTTTATACGTTTGTGGCATTTTAAGTAGTTTTTCATTTTTATTGATCGAAATTTTCATATTAAAAAACAAAGGAAAAAAAGAGAATAAAGAAAGGAAAAAAATTGTTATAATGCTTAGTTGGCAATATGAGCCACAACATATACATACATTTAGATTATCGGTATGAATATGTCGATCTACCACAATATGCTCAACAATACACATATAATGAATATCAGCAATGACATGCCCATCTGTCACAAGAAACTTATTAGCAAGAGAGCCATTGATATGGTTATGAAGAGCAACAATATGAGTACACAAGCCATCAAGAGTATGAGCATACTTATTGTGACAATTATGAGCGTCGCTCTCTCCAGTTGGAGTATGCTAATCATGAGCGATATAAGTATGAAGATCAATACTGACATAAGTATATTGAGCAACAAAAATATAAGCATCTTAATAGCCATCAACATGATTATGTTTATCAATATGATTATGTTTATCAATATGAGGATGGTACATGTTGCCATTATGAATATGCTAACTTTCAGGAGAACATAGACCAAATTATAGTTAAACTGAATCGCTTTTAGCAAGAACAGAATTGTTATTTTGACAAGCTTAAGAGGGATTGTGGTGAAGTTAAGAAAGCAACATATGAGATTAAGAGGATGTCAATCAATTGAGGAAACAAATGGAAGAACAAGCATCAAGCGAGCCAATAATGATAGAAGCTCCTTCCTTGCCAAAAAAAGATTCTCTAAATAATGGTCAAGATGTCCACTATACACCAATACAAGTGGCTCATTCTCAAATTGTTTCTAGCAAGGATCAATCTCATCATGCTATAACTATTTCTTGTCTACAAGCTGCATCTCCTAAGGTCACTCTATTGCTTAATGATCAAATCCAGTAATACTCTGTCTTTTGGAAAGGTTTTCCTAAGATTTTGCATGATTAAACTATTCACTCTTGTCAGAGTTGGTTCTTTTGCTACCTAACTTATTGGAAGGAATTTTTAGATACTCGCCTATATCAAGTTGCTTTTGTTAGGAGAGGCTGGCACCTAAGAGGAGATAAATTGGGTGACACTTAAAACTTTTGGAAACTTGAAAAGAGTGAAGAGCTAAAGAGTAAAAAGGAAGAAGATGAAATAGTCAAGATTTATACTGGTTTAGTCACAAACTTAGTTTACGTCCAGTCCTTAAGATCATATTTGAGATTTTCAACTAAAATCATAAGTTTCAATAGGTGCTTACCATCACAGTATAACTCTCAAGACTAACTTTGTCTTGATTCACTTAACACATCTTGCTACAATCCAATAAGTTGTTACAACACTTGAAAAATTTCTTTTTAAAATTTCTGAAAAGATAATAAAAACCTTTTACAGAAAACTCTCTTAAAGAGTATATGAAAATATAAATGAAAGCTTATAAACCTTTGAGAGCTTTTCACAATTCTTTTAAAAAATAATGGATGAATGTAATTTATAAAATCACAATTTGAAAGTATTTTAAATGCACAAATAACATTTTGTCTGCTCAAAGAACATTGGTTCTTATTCTGATTTAAAATGAATCACTTATATAGTTTTTGGAAGTTGACAAACCGTTGGAACAGTGATTCTATCTGTTAGTGCATTTTCTTGTGAGTAACTGGTATAATCACATGATTATGCATTAAAGAAGTTTCACAAAGCTAAATGTGACAGATCAGAACACCTCGTCCTTTCACGCGTAGTTTTACACTTTTGAAAGATCATTCAGTTCTGTGTGATTAATCAGGTATGGTACCTCATTGCTCTCTCGCATGGTTTAGCACTCATGAATAATCATTCAATTCTGTGTGCTTAATCATGCGTGATACCTCATTGCTCTTTCATATGGTTTAGCACTTATAAATATACTAATATAACAAAGTACTAAAACTTACTAATGCACCACTAGCTCTCACGCGTGGTTTTGCATGTCAAGAACTATCATCAGTTTAGTGTGACAAATCATGCGTGGAACCCTTACTCTCTCACACGTGAAAGGGCTTAGAATGCCAAAGCCATTCAATGTGATCAAAACTTGTGCAGAACCAGAAACATATCATGCGTGAAATTGCAAGCACTAATGTAAAAACTTGTCTAATGCATATTCGCAAGATTTTGCATGATCAAGAGATATAAATTTATGAATTAATGATCATACATATGAACAATTTTAGCTTAACTTGAGAGGTTTTAAGACTCAACAAAATAAAGTGTAATTGTTCAACAAGTGACAAATCACACATGGCTACCATCAGTTTCACGCATAGTTTTGCACTTAGTCACAGTATAATAAACCATAGGTGCTAAAACTTGCATGAACATAATGTCTTTCACCGTGGTTTTGCATATAGAGACATAACATAAGGTAACATATAACACAAGTGCTTAATCACGCGTAAAGCACTTCTTCACACTCACATGATCTAGCAATCAGTGTGCCTAACATGCAAAAACTCGTGAGTGACTTGCAGAATCACGCATGATTCTGCTTCTTCACCATGCAAACTTTTTCTATGAAAAACCACATGCAAGAGAGCCAAAGTTTGCAGTTTTAGCATATTAGATGAGTCTTAATGCATATAAAAGAGACATATGATGCATCCATTTAGTGATTAAGAAATGTGCTTAAGCTCTTTAAGTTTTCACATTGAATCTAAGAGAATTTAAATTATTTATCCTAAACTTTCTTCATCTTCTCTTAATTCTTCATACTTTAAGGTTTTGTTTTCATCCATAATTCTTTATATCTGTACACATAACAAATATCTTTTTTCTTGATTTTGTAATCATCAAAACACATTATCCAATAGCTTACTCTTGCCAGAGCTTGCTTTTTCAACATCTCACCTGTTGGAAAGGATTTTCATATTAGAGTACTTTGCTAAAATTTATCCCACCCTTCCCTCCCTGAATTTATGGCTTAATTTTAACTTGTCAGAAGTCAAGTTCTTCAAGTGGGGGGAGAGATGGTGTAATATGGAATAAAATATAATTAGGTTTAGTTTAAAATGTTATAATTATTCAATAAGAATATTTAAATGAGGATATTAATCCATTATATTAGCTTTAATTATTTATTTTGTTATTATTTTAAATATCAATATTATTAATATTTGATGTAGATTTAGAATTTAGAATTTAAATTTAAATTATTAATATTTTATTATTTTAATATCTCTATTAATAGAGTTAAGTTTTTTATTCGTCTTCAGATTTAAATATTATCAAATAAAAATTTTTAAGAATTTCAACCTTTCTCCCCCTTCTTTCTCTTCCTCTTCCTTTTTTTTATACCTTGTTGTCCCATAGGAGATTTTGCCCTACAATACTTAAAAATATCAAATATCGAATGTTTGAATAATACAATATATGTTGAAAGTGCATTCATCTTGAAGATTGTTTTAAATTTTTAAAGAAATTGTTTTGTAAAAATTTTCAAATATTGATAAAATTTAATAGTTATAATTATAATTTTTTTTTCCTTGGGCAAGATAACCAAGATATTCATCGAAATCTATATGATATCTCCTCAATTGAATAAAAGAAGGTGAACAAAAATAACTACTTGAAAAAGCTGGAAAAATAAAAACTATTTGAAAATAAGGTAAAATAAATATCTCAATTGAATAAAGGTAAATACAAATAACTATCTTGAAAATAAGATAAAAGAAATACCATGACCAACTCTTCTTTCGATTTCTTTCACTACTTGAAAGAGATCACAGAAGTATGCATATGCTATACTTAGAACCAAACCCTAGACATATTGATCATCTTCCAACTTAGTTTAGAGGGCTTAGAAGGTAGGGTGCATTTGGATTTTAATTAAAAAAAAATTAATTACTAAAATATGATGATGTTTGAATAAATTTTTAAAAATTAATTATGATAAAGTTGATAACATTTGAATAATTTTTTCAAGATCAATTTTGACTGGATAATATTATTATTCAAAGTGACAAACTAATAATATTCAAAATTAATTTTTCAAAATGAAACAAATTTTAGCTCGTGCCAAATGTAATTTTAGAAACCAAATGAAGTTTTGAAAAATTGAGGTGATGGGATAAAAAATTTTAAAACCATGATTGATTCTAAAAAGATATCCAAACATGTCCATATTTCACTCTACAGATTCATAAGAGTAACAATATCAATTACAATTAAAATTAGAGAGGACAAAACAGTGAACCGTTGATCTACGCACATGTTAACTAATAAACGATCTCTGCAACATTTATAGCTGCTTACAGGAATATGGCTCACATTATCATGCCAAATTCATACAGTTCTCATGATATATGTTTATTTATAAATCATTGGATTAGGTACTAAAACATAATTTATCCACCATCAAGCTTAAACTGATCAAGTTTTCCCCGCAAAAAAAATTGCAAGGAAGAACAAAACCAATAAAGACAGAGAGACAGAAAGGCAAAGGCCTAATTCTAATAAATATGAGATGAAACACAGAACTAAACTGAACTCACAAACGGATGATAAAGTGAACTCATTGGCTGCTTTAGGAATGCTCCATCACTTTACAACGTCAAAAAACTATACCAATCAATTGATCTATGATTCTGAAGGCGATGAAGGCATTCTCTTTGTCTTCTTCTCTGAAACTGCTTTTGCAAAAGCCTCCACGATCCGCTGCTGTGACTCCAGAATCATCTCAGTACGCTTCATCTCCATCTCCATACGCATACTCTCAATCTCCCCCGCCATCTCCATTTTCATCTGCTCCATCTTCACAAACCCATCTCCCAAAACCTTAATTGCACATACCATCTCACTGAGAGGATCTCGCTCCTTCTCTCTTTCTCTTTTTCCCAACCCACTTCTCTCTTTCAAAACTCTAGTTTCATAATTGGGACTACAATTAAAGCCATGCCCAGATTTTGAACTGGGGTTGTTATTGTTATAGTTGTATTTCTGATCAGCAATTTTCCCATACAACTTGGAATTCCCAGGTTGTGCAATGCTTACCCCATTGGGAATTCGAATCCGAAATCCACCGCTGCCGTTGCTGCCACCCATCCCATTCCGACACAACTTATTCAAGCTCCTTGTGTTGGATCCACTAACGCTTCTGAATTCCTCGTACAAGTCATTATCCTCATCGCCGTCAAACTCATCGGGGCTATCATCGGAAACGTTCTCGGGCTTGACAGGGGAAGGGCCTTTTTCCATGGAATCCATCCGCTTAAAGTGGACCCAAGAGGAATTGAACCTAGCGACAGGAAGGTTGCGCGCGCGTTGGACCTCGGTGCGGTACCGCTTCCGGAGCTTCTCCATCTTGTGGCGGCACTGGACGGCAGTTTTGGGCGGTGACGCGCCCGGGCAGCGAGAAGCAACCGCATCGGCGACATCTTGCCAATGCGTGGCCTTAAGATTACCCCGGCCAAGAGAATACCACTTGTCACGGTACGCGTCGATGAGAGCAACAGTTTCCTCAGCAGACCAGCACGGCGGAGGAAGGCGACGAGAGGAGGAGGACGAGGGCTGCGAAGAGGGCAGAACCGGAGGAACAGGAACGGCGAGAGGGACGGCGGTGGGAGGATCGGCAGGCGCGGTGGTGGCGGAGGAGTCAACAGGAGAACAAGAAGAAGGGGAAGCCATGAAAGACGGGAAACTCAAAACGGAAATTCTCAGATTTCAGATCTTAAGGCGGCGGCGGCGGCGGAATAAAGTGAAGGTGAAAGATTAAGGGTAACGGATAAGAACGGCGGCGCAGGATAGAGCTACGAAAGAGAGGTTTTGGGGAAGATGGGGTGGTAATGGTGGCGGCGGCGGAGAAAGAAGAAAAGTAGTAAATGGTGACATGTTGGGTTTGGTTGGGTAGGGTTAAAGGGGTGGTGGTGGGAGTGGTGTGCGGCTGATTATGAGATCTTGAGAGATGGGGAGGCCACCACCGCTTAGGTGGGGAGAGGGGCTAACGTGCGCCGGGGATAAGGTGGCGCACGATTGCCAGGCCCGTAAACACGGCAAGGAGAGGCATATTAGGTCGTTATATCGTTTAGGAGACGCAGTGGGAGAGGGGTATTAATAAGTCACACATATTACATAACACGGCTTTGTTTTGTCAATCAAGTCAGTGGCGAGAGATACATTGGGCCTTGCGTCTTCGGAATCAGCGTGTGTGGGGGCGTAGTTTTCCTTTCCTTCTCCTTTCCTCAATGTACTTTTTTATTTTTAAAAAAAGTGACGTCGGGTCGTGGCTTTTTTTGTTTTTTGTTTTTTTTTGAGATAATATCAATTTAAGATTGTTGAAATAAATTTATACAAGTTAAAGAAACCTTATTATTAAAATTTATATAAATTCTTATTAATTTTATTTAATTTTTTAATAACAACTCATTCTAAATTAATAAAAATTAATTTGAGGTTATTTTTTATTTGAGTTTTAATAATAATTAATTATTAATTAATATAAATTTTTTTAAATAGATATTAATTGCTATTTTCTCCCTTTTTTTTTCTTGCAAAGGTGATAATTAATTATAATTATAAAGGCTAAGGTGATTTTTCTCCCAAGCCATCTTCCGAGTAATATTTAATACCTAAACTATTTATTATAATAATTTTATTTTTAAAATAATAAAATGTAATATATTTTTTATTAAGGTTAAATACTTCAACATTAATTGTTAAAAAATTGATTAGAATTTAAACATGATGGAAAATATCATTTGTCATGCTATGCGGATAGAAGTTAAGATATATTTTTAACTTTTGAATTATTATCTGAGAACCACCCCCAATGTTCTAAAACTATTTGCATAATTACAATTTTATTTTAAAGTAATTTAAATGTAATATATTTTTGAACACTCGTAAATAATTCAATCAAATTCATTTTTTCCTTTTTCTTTAATTTTATTAAAATACTATGTTTAATTACGGATGTTTAAAAAGAAGAAGGCATGTAGGCTTTAATGATAAGTTGCAAAGAGATGGAGATGTGGGAGTGCATCATTGGGTGGGACTTGTAAGATCACCTTTACTACCCTCACATGTGGTTAAAATCATCACAATAGTCGTGAGACCAATCCAAATAGAACACCAAATTTTGTTTGAACAAAAATGAGATAAAGATGAGATCTCAAGTGTAAAGACTAAAATTTTAAGTAAAAAATTTAAAATTTAGGATTAGAAATTTTAAATGTATTTTATTAAGAGTTAGATGTTAAAAAAAAAACAATGATGGCTAAGTGAAAATTTTATTGGTGTTTAATTTTGGAGTGCCAGTTTGAATGCTCAAAGTGAAAAGTGGAAGATTTATTTTTGCTTCAGCCCATAGTCAAATCCTTATTTCACCCTTAATAATAATAATAATGAATCAAAACCCAGCCCAAAAACACGCATGCGTCATCAGATTTTATTCTTCTTCGCTCCCTCTGCATTTTTGAATCTTCCGGAGCTTGCGAAACCGCCTTCCTCTTCATCCTTCCGGTCTCTGGCCATTGAAGATGCACCTGAACCTTGCTTCTTCTTCCCCAACTTGTGCGTTGTCATGGGAGGACTGTCGTGAATTTCCTTTCCTTTGTGCTGTTGATTTTCCTCTCCTCCTTCCTTCGTTCACTATCGTCTTCTCCTTTCCTTCTTCGTTCCTGGTTGGCTGCTAGCGTGGGGTTCACGTTGCTGTGAGTTTGATGTCACAAGGAGTTCGATCAATGTACTGGTTAGTATGGCTTGCTCTTCCTTCCTCTCCCCTGTTTTTTGCTGCCAACTTCTCACCAATGCTAGCTGTGATTCAGTCAGTTCACCCTCTGTTCTTCTATGTCGCTGGTCATTTTTATTTCTTTTTGCTTTGGTTGCAACAGGCCCTCCCTCTTTCAGCTCACACGACCAGCCTCTGCTCCTTCTTGCTCTTCCTTTGCTCTATCATCCTGGGGTGAGGTGAGAGTTTCGTACCTTTCTCTTTCTAGCTCTGTGTGTGTGTGTCTATGTAGTTGAAAAAAAATAAAAATAAATCTTATTTAGTCTGCAAGGCTAGTACTGCATGTGTTGTGGAAAAGGGGTTGTTGAACCAAGTTGAATTTTAATCCCATGAGCTGTATTAGAATTTATTTTGATTTTGTTAAAGAAATGAAACTTGGGAAGATAATTTATTCATATCTCTATGTTAGAGAATGTTTGGGAAGTAGAACTGAATAGAATAAGCTTGGTAATAATTTGAGGTTTATTATTCATAAAGTGTTTGACAAATGATCAAGAGGGATTCTTGTTATATTATGGCATAATATATATATATATATATATATATGATGAATACAATGTTGATTAAATAAACTATTATTAGAAAAAAAAATTACTCTCTTCGATGAAAGTTGAGAGATGAATAGTTCAATTAAGAATATAAGAAAACTTTTGGAAAAGGATTTGATGAGAAAAAGAACTTGATCTTATGGTCTAAACATTGAGCATAAAAAGGAACATTTTGATCTAAAGTGGCAATATATATATATATATATATATGACAAGTATCACATCATGGATTAAACAATAATGATAGGTGTTTTGTTTCTTTGCAATGAAAGTAAAAGTAGGAATTAGAAGTTTTTGGGAGAGATATTTAAGTAGTTATTTAAGAACCAATTTAATATTGGGATATCATTAAGATATTTTATGCAATGTTGAAAAAGATAAAAGTGAATATTTTCTTTCTTTTATTCTTCTAAGTTATTTTGGATTTAAAGATTTTGCATGGTAAAGTATAAGTAGGGAAGTGATAATGATGTTATTTAAATATTAAAAATTTTAAGATAGAGCATTAGGACTAGTTTGGAAGTAAATTATATACTTGAAAACTTTGTAGATAAATAAGATAGCATTCCAACTAATTTATAAACAAAATTCTTTTTTTCAAATTTTTTTTACTTAGATCATTTAATAACAATTATATTACATATTTAATACTTTGTTAATTAAATTATTTTTTATCTTAGGAAATTATAAAAAGATATAAAAGGATATTTGAATTATGAAGTGTATGTGTTTTTCCTTACAAGGATACTTTCAAGATTGATGAAATTATTTTTATTAGCTTTGGTAATTTTGGTTTTTTAATAAATGCAAGTATGGATATCAATTATGAAATTTTTTTTGGCAAGATTTTAATGTTTAAAATTCGTCATGCAAGTTTAATTTTGAGAAGGGAAGCTATATTTTAACAATGATGACTTTCTCGCATGTTTGAAAATGAATTTGGAGGAGATTTTATACAGAACACTAATAGCTAATGGTAGCTCTGCTAGCCCTTGGTGCACCTTGGTCAATGACTTGCTATTTTAATTTTTGTGAGCTCTATTCTCACGTTTGATATTCATAGGGCTCGTATATGCATTTGTTTTTGTGGCTTTAAGCTGCGTTTGGTTAGTATTATCCTTGTGAACTGTGTGGCCACATTTGTTTTACAGCCCAAGTTGTCTTTGACTACTTACTCTCATGGATTATATGTCCATGTTTGTCTTTGTGGCATAAGTTACGTTTGGTTATTTACCTTTGTGGATTATGTGTTCACATTTGTAAATTGTTTTGATAAATCCTCATAAATTTGAATTTTAATTAATTGATAATTTCACACTCTAATGGTTTTTAGTTATAAAATTTTATTATTTTCATTTATGCATTTATTTAATTATTTTAATTGTCAAAATCAAATATTAAATCTGTTTTATCGTTATAGATTTTTAGTTTCTTAATATTGAAGTTATATAGAAATTTTACTTTGAGTTTACAAATTTATTTACATTGAATTGTTTTCTCTTTAATTTATGTATACATTGTAGTTTATTTATTTTGAATCTACAAAATGTTATGGTTGGAACATTATTCACTAAAAAATATTTTTGGTTTCAAATAGCATAGCTGACCCTGTACCTCTATTAGATCCTTGAAGGCATTTTGCTTCTAAATTGAAGTTGAGATGCCATTTTGGTTAATTTCTATTTTGATGTAAATTCATAATTTATATATTGTATTCTTATAAATAATATTTTAGGTGCTCCAAATAAACTATAGTTAGAGTCATGATCTTATATTATTTTGCTAAAAAAAAAAAGAGAGTCATGATCCTATATTGTGCTGTTTGATTATTGTTGAGGAGCGGGGCTCCCTTTTGTTGAGTTGATATTGTAAATTGTGATGAATTTTTTCAAGAGGTTCTATTTTTTTTTTCAGGGAGCATTTGTCAAAATTTTTACAAAAATTTTAAAAATATTTTATTTAAAAAAATGTCACAATGATTTTCCATCCTATTTCAAATAAAGAAAAATATTAGATTAAAGTTTCCTTAATAAAGGCTTAAAGGATGAATGTTTATGCTTATATCCCATACCGGTCACGTCTAATTTTTAGAGCGTGACATCAAGTTTTATTGGCTTAAACACATAAAAAAAAAGTAAAACATGTATAAATCAAAGCAAAGACGTATACAGAAGCAAAGGATACATAATGTACTCAAAACATTTGAAAATAGGTTGAAAAATTGAAAACCCACAAGCTAAGGCATTTGCCATTGTGAACCCCTTTTGTACCATATGCCACAGTTCATTGCACAGTTTTGATAGCATATGGAACAAACTTCTAGTATGCTTCATTTCTTCTTTGATGTTCAATCAAGGCAATCAAGCTGTACATAGAAAAGCCTTTTCTATAAACTAGCTAATAACATAAGGTTAACTCTCAAACTATATCACACAAGAAAATTGTATACCTAAATGTGTTTCATTCACCTTTTCATCCTTAACCACAACAAGAGTGCCCAAAATCAAACCAATGTGCCAAAAGCCTAAATTGACACCTAGACTACACTTAATGAACTCAAGACAACCTGCGTAATATATTGGATAAGGTTGGCGTCCAAGAAAGGGGAGAATTAGGTGTTCAAAATTTTTTAACTAGATTTTTCCAACCCAAAAGATGATGAATACAAAATGCAAGTATAAAGCTAAAAATTGCTTGAAATTAGAAAAGAGAAGCAAGACACAAGGTAATCAAAAGCTTAATCCTTATTAGACATAAAAATGGTTCAAGTGAATCTTAACTAATCATTAACAATGACAAAAGTATAGAGATTACTACCAAGACATTTTACCCTTGCTAGACTAACCAAGTCCATGTACAGCAATTCAAGTGGTTTAGAAGTAATTACCACATTTTTGCTTTGAAAGGTGGTTTGGACTTGCTTCCTTTCATACAAATATCACATAACTTATCTGCCTTAAATTTGATCTTTGGTAGGTCAATGACAAGATCATTTTTCACCAGCTTGTCAAGTTGCTTCATCTTTACATGTGCTAATCTTCTATGCCACAGCTAGCTTTCATCACTTATAATGATCAAGCGCTTAATGTAGCATCATCATCAAGATTGATGGAATATACATTTTGAACTCTTCTTCCCACAAGGATGATTTTTCCTATGTTTTCATCCTTCACATTGCAACCAATAGCATTAAATACAACTTAATAACCTTTTATCATATAATTGACTTATGCTAAAGTTTGAGTAGCAGAACCCATATGAAAAACTAGGGACTTTGTGGCCTTTGGCTTCTTGAGAAACAAGGGAGACTGTGAATCATCAATAAGTAATATTGAGAAGTCCTTGGTCTTCTTGATTTTCACCAAAACTAAATTTAGAGCCATCACGTTTCTTTGGATTTCAAGTTGGAAGAAGAAATCAAAGTAGGTGGCTGGATCCTAGGCAAAAATTTTAGGAACAAAAGCAAAGTTCACCAATTAGAATGGGCAGACTTTTCTAGTAAACCATTTTGGGAAGACGAAGACAAAGATTTTGGGAATAGAAGAAATGTTCACTATAGTGCAATAAAGTCTATGGGTATGAATTGGCATGCTTGAAGAAGAAGATGAACATTTAGCATATGACACATATCAATCTTTTGGTCAAATGAAAATTTTAATTATCAAAGTTCTTCAAAGTTAACAATAGGGGCATAATTGCACTCTTTTTAAAATTCTCAAGTGATATTGCTTTAAAAAGCTTAAGATACCAAACACCTCTCGAGAAAAGGTTTTAGGGCATTTTTGCCATTTAACCCAAACTTATTTTTAAATAAATACCATGGAAGTGCAATGTAATATCAGAATCTTGAGGTTCTTAGCTAATATAAAAATTTTCCAACAATCTTCTATTGATATTTTCCTAAGGAAAATTGAGCACAAGGACAATAAGATCTAAATAATTGGGCATGAATCCCAAATATGTTAAAATAAAGCTTGCAAGGACTAGTCTTAAAGGGAAAATGCCTCAAAGAGAATACCATAATACCATTTCATTTTTTAGCACTATTTTTTAGAGGTCATCCACAAATCTTCAATAATATTTAGTTTTTTTTTTCTTGCTTTCAATTAAGGTTGTGCAAAAAGCCTGCTAGTCTAGATAACTCTAATTTGGTATGAGCAAATTTGGTCCAAGTAAAAAGCAACCTGATGCAAAAATCATATTGAATTGGATAGAGATGATAATTCAAATAGGATGGGCTCAATTTTGGCTAGGCCAAAATAAGCCTCAACTTAGATAAAATTTCAAATAGCCAAACTTGACCCTAACTTCTTCAAATTTCAAGCCTATTTAGGCTTTTTAAAATTTTTTTTTCTTAAAATTCCACTTTCTACTTTAAAATTAATTTTTTAAATAATAAAATATAATATATACTTTTAGGATACTTAAAAATGTAGAAGACTCAATTTTATTCAAAATTTTTTTGGGTCTTAAGGTTTTAAATAAAAATTAAAATAAATTTTAAATATTTTTTAGGATATATAATAGATTAAAAATAATAAAAATATAACAATGTGGGTATTTTTAATTTTTTTTTGAAAAATATCTATAATAATGTACTCAAATATATGACCCCTTAGTTTAAAATGAACTAAAGTTAAAAGGATTAATTAATATTTAATATATTAATATATATTTAAAATTTTTTCTTTGCATATTCAGACCTAGTTCAAACCCGATCGAGTTTCGTTATAATTTTTTGAATTTATTTAAGTCAATTCGAATGATTCAACCATTAAAATATTGTTACTTTATTAAGCTCATGCCTAAATTTTTTTGAACATATTCGTGCCAACCTGAATTACCATTTAGACTCTTAGACTAAGCAATTAGACTTCTTGGTCTTGTCCATCTAGGTGTTATATAATATATACACATATATTAAAATATTATATATTTATTAATATATATCATAGTATCTTAATTCTTCATAATAAGTTTCCCTAATTTTTTCTCTTTCTTCTTTTAGAACGTATTTAAAAAACTAATTTTTTTTATCTCTATTTTTAGGTAACATAAATTATTCTCTTAATATATTTTTATTTAGTTCAAAATTTTATCTTTGTATAACCATTAATGAATTTTTTATAGGTTGATAATCTATAGATGGTTGAAATTCTCTATTGATTTTTAATTGTGTTTCTAACCGTATATTTTCTTCAAAATTTTTGTCTTTAGTTCTGGATGTTTATGCTCGATATATTGGTTGTGGAATTTTAGGATTGTAATCTACTCCCATAATCTACTCTCATTAATTTATATCTTATACTGGAATTATTTATATATTGTCTTGAAATTACTATAGGTATTTGGCCTCTTATTCAAAAGGAGGTGGATCTACTTAATATCTTATAGGCTATATCTCTTTTAGAAGTTCTTATTATTTCTTTTAATTTTTATTTTTTTTAACAGAGTTGGTTTTGCTAGTTTTGAAAAAGTTCAATGAGCGGGTAACTGCATGTCACTATATTTTATTCTTTTAGGTATTATGACTGAGGTTTTTGAGAGATCTCCTATTTATATTAACATCAATTATCCTTTAGGAGTTTCTTTTATAGCTTTGAAGTTTTGATTTATTTTTTATATTTTAAACATAATTCTATATTGGACTACCATATATTGACTCCTTTTTTTTCAAGAGCCTTAGCTGCCTATTTTCATAACTAAGCCATCTTTACAATATTTGTCTTTTAATTCTATAACATAATTTGAGAAACAACAAAAATAAATTGGTCCTTCAAATAATTTTAATTGTATTATTCCTACTAAAAATTATATAGTGATTTGAAGTTTTTAGTTAGGCTTTGGACGAACCCAAAGTATAAATTAGGAGATTAAGATCAATATGGGTAATGAAATTGTGTTTTTCAAGTGTTTGGTTAAATAGAATTAATGGAGTATGTTAGGAAAATTGATGGGGTTAAATTAAAGTTTTGGGATAATGAGTACTTGAAATTGTGTTAAAAATGGGGTAATTAGTGTGTGGATTGATGATTAAAAGTTTAATCTTGTAGATTAATTGTTGATCAAGCATTGTGGTACTAATAGACATCTGTGGAGCTATTGTTTGACCACGATAACTTCTTTAGTGATAAAAGGGTTAAGGTAATCAAATTGTCTAAACTCTCTTCTTTCGTATTTACATGGTTGTGTAGTATTTATTGAGGTTAATACCTTAGTTTTGTATTAATATAGTATCAATGTGAATTGATTATGATTTTGAAACTATGTGGAGTGGAATGAAAAATTATGTTTTTAATGTTGTGATTTTTGAAGGCTAACTGCTATTTTTCAGTATAATTACTTATCAAATTATATGGTTTAAGTAGAAATGAACATTTTAGTGAAAATTATATGTTATGATTATGTGTGGAATCATTGAGCATATATTTGGCATGATCATTGTAAGAGAGTGGGAGTTCATCTTAATGTGTTGTTAGGTATATTATTTAGAAATCTATATGGTACACTGGCACCATAGAGGCCTCGGTACATAGTTTATATTATTTAGAAGTCTTAGTACTATATGAGATAAATTGGGTATCAACACCCGTATCATTTAAGAGTAAGGGGAATTTGTGATCAATAATGGGTGAAGGCACTCTTGGCCAAGGCTATCTCCTACTAATGGTGAGCTTGTGTCAGTCTAGTCACATGAATTTAGTTTTATTTAGTTGTCGGCCCACAAATTTAATCAGAAGATATAAGGAGGGTATAAGGTAGTATGTTGATTATGCATATCATTTCATGACTACATATGTATGGAAATATAACTTGTTATGTGTTTTGAATGCCATTTCACATACACACTATTTGTTCTCACACATAAGTAGTTTCATTAGATTATTTGATTACTAAGTCTTCGAATTACCCTATAGTTACATATTTCAGGTCAAGGTTCCGAAAAGGACAAAGGGAAGAAGGTTGATAAGGAATTAGTCACTTACCCTCAAAATTAAACTAAAGCTAATCTTAATAAAATATAAGGCTAACCCTTGGTCATCTCCCAAGGAATGGTTTAAAGTTTAACAAAAGGTTACCTAATGCAATAAGTCAGCCAAAGAGTTGCAATTTAGTTACCTAATTATCTAAACTAATTACCTAATGTGTAAGTAATTAAAATGCTAATTAAAGTGAGTGAAATGAACTTTTCTTTTTATAAGAATGGAACCCTAGAGATTAGTTGATTTTAAAATTATGTTCATGTGATTAAGCTAAATTAAGCTTCCTTTTTCTCTTGACCAAAGTTGTCTTGACTCAAGTTCCTAGTTCAATTAACCAATTAGTACAAAAATTAGCCAAGTGAATCACCCAAATTCTCCTCTTAGATGCCATGGCTAAAGAAATAAAGTGAGAAACCACAAGATTTCAAATTCTCCTCTTAGATGCCATGGCCAAAGCAATAAAGTGAGAAACCACAAGATTATGTTAAGCTACTCAACAATATAAGTATTAACATTACAAGATTATGCAACATTAACACATGTAATTCACTAATATTCTATTTAGTTGGAGAGAAAACATGGGAGGAAAGAAAACATGAAATAAAAATAGTAGATAAAATGCATTTTTTCCTACTTAGATAAAGAAGAAAAAGTGAGAGGAAAGAAAAGTTGAAAATAAAATGAGGTGTGAGACCCACCACATTTTCCTCTCAACTTTTCTCCCCAAAGGTAGAGAGATTTTGAGAGTAAACTCTTACTTTCACTACCTACCCTCCCCTCTCTCCCCCTTTTTCCCCACTTTAACCACATTAATTCCTTACAAACAATCAACTTTTGATCTTCATGAAAATTGGTGTCTTTAGCTTTCAAGAACTAATTTAATTTTAACAACTAATTTTAATATAATTTAATTTGATGATATTGATTTTAATATAATTAATTTGATTTTAAGAAATAGAAATAGAATTTGCATCTTTAGCTTTCTACATTTTTTTAACAACTAATTTGATTTTAAATTAATTTGATAATGCTAATTTTAATATAATTTATTCTTTCAATTTATTTTTACAAAAATAATTACATTAGATACGATATATACTAATATAACGATATTATATCATTATGATATTTATTCATTTTCTTTCCTTCCTATTTTCTCTTGTCCATCCAAACATAATGAGTGATAACATTTTTTTCCAGTTTTCTCTCCTCTCGATTTTCTTTTCTCTCAACTTTTCTTCCTATACAAACAGAGGATAAATGAAAACCATAGGACTATATGCTAAACATGAAGTGGCCAAAATCACCAAGGCAGCAAAAGGAAGAAATTAACTAACATGATTAACCCTCTTCTCTTTACATTAAGATCAAATTCAAATTAGAATTTACAAGCCAAGATGATCAAACTCTAGACTATGACATCTAATCATCTAGTAAAAAGAGAAGAGAATAAGAAACAAAAGAAACTTAGCTAATTGAAGCTCTAGATTCATCCTCCATCTTCATCTCTCTAGGAATCCACTAAGAAACTTAGCCCACCATCTTCATCTTTAAGAACCCTAGGAGAAGCATCTCTTAGCCAAAACCCATAGAAGCTTGGATAAAGAAATTGAGATCAAATCCTTGTGAGAATGGAAGGGATGGGATGAGCAAGGAGAGATATGAAGAATGGTATATGTTTTGTAGAGTTTTAATGGCTAAAAGTGGAGGTAAGGGTGCTGGGAAAATGAAAAAAGTAAAGAGAAGGTGGAGAAAATGAAGAACAAGATAAACTAGAGGGAGAATGGAAGAGATGGTGAAATGAGGTGGTGTGAATCTGAATATGGGCAAGAATGGATGTGCTCCTTATATTTCCCTTCAGCTAATCACAATTAAAAAATAAGAAAATAAAATAAAAAGGAAAATGGAAGCCTTGTCACATTTACAAGGTGGCATCCTCTTATTAGCTTGTAGAGGATTCTAATATGTGTCTAATTTCTTATGTGTCATTTACATTTTCAAGCTGATTTAATCCCCTAATTAATGCATAAAAATGTCTCAAATGCTTAGCTTTGACCTTAAGGAGTGTTGACTTCAATTGCCTATTTGAGAGGTCGAGATACTAATGCAAGTGTTATTTTATATTGAATCATATAGTTGTTTAGCCATTTGGTTAATTATTGTATAGTTGTTATCCCTTGGGGAATTTATGCTAAATTAAGGGTTTTTGTGGACAAATCTTGTTGAAATGTTGTTGTTGTGGTTTGAGTGTATGAACAGGTTGTTTATGGCACAGAGAGAGGCTCAAAACATGTCTGGGCATCTTTGTGCCATGCGTCATGCTGAATACACCAATGTGTCATGGTGCATGTGTAAAATATACACTCACTAGACTCACAAATTAGATTAAAAATTAGAAGTGGGATAAGAGTAAACATGAAGAGGTGATGGAGAACAATTGGTGACCACTAGGCTTGACCTTAGGATCACTTTGGAAGCATTTGGAGAAATATTTATCTTTGGGCTTACACCTCTTCCTCTCCCTTTATACAAATTTTTATAGGTATATGGGACTTGATTTTGGTTTTTCTTAGGACATAACTGAACCTATTACCTTAGTTAAGGTCTTAGGGAGTTAGATCAAGCCTTTAAACTTAGGTTTATGGATAATATAGTGATTTGAAGTTTTTAGGTAGGGTTTGGATGAAACCTAAGCATAAATTGAGAGACTAAGAGCAATATGGGCAATGAAGTGGTATTATTTAAGTGTTCGGCTGTTTGATAGAATTAATGAAGTATGTTAGGAGAATTGATGGGGTTAAATTAAGATTATAATGGGTACCCAAAATTATGTTGAAAATGGGGTTATTAGTGTGTGGATTGATGATTAAAAGTTTAATCTTATAGATTAATTGTTGATTAAGCATTGTGGTGTTAGTGGATACATGTGGAGCCATTGTATGACCATGGTAACCTTTTGAGTGCAAAAAGGTTGAGTTAACTAGATTATATAAACTCTCTTCTTCTGTGTTTGGATAGTTGTGTGGTATTTATTGAGGTTAATACCTTAATTTTGTATTAACATAATATTAATATGAATTGATTATGATTTTAAGACAATGTGGAGTGGAATGAAAAGTTATGTTTTTAATGTTGTGTTTTTTAAGGCTAAAAGCTATTTTTGAGTATAACTACTTGTGAAATTATATGGTTAAGCAGAAATGAAAATTTTAGTGAAAATTATATGTTATGATTATGTATGGAATCATTGAGCATATGTTTAGGCATGATCATTGTGAGAGGGTAGGAGTTCACCTAATATGTTATTATGGATATTGTTTGGAAATCTATAAGGTACACTAGCACCGTAGAGGCCTTGATACATAGTTTATATTGTTTGAAAATCTCAGTACTATATAAGATAGATTGGGCATCAACACCCTTAACATTTGAGAGCAAGGGGAATCTATAATCCATAGTGGGCAAAGGCGCTCTTGGCTGAGGTTTCCTCTTACTAATGGTGAGTCTGGGCTAGTCCAGTCATGTGAATTTAGTCCTATTGAGTTGTCAACCCATAGATTTAGTTGGAAGATGAAAAGGTGGTGTATTAATCATGCATATCATTTTATGACTATATATGTATGCAAATATGACTTTTCATGTGTTTTGAATGCCACTTCACATATGTACTATCTGTTCTCACACATAAGTAGTTTGATTAGATTACTTGGTCACTGAGTCTTTGACTTACCCTGTGATTACATATTTCAGGTGAAGGCTCTGAGAGGGGCAAAGGGAAAGAAGGTGCGACCAAGCATCAAGGGGACTAGCTAGTGTTTGTATATTCCTTTCTATTTCTTTTAGTTTTGTAACGAATGATATATGCATATGCTAACTTAGGATCATTAAGTTTTTTATTGTCACTTGCATGAATTCTGGTGTAATTTATGGGTATCTCATCTTAGAATATTGTAAATTGTGATGTAATCGTTGTGAAAGGTCGAGATACTAGTGCAAGTGTTATTTTGTGTTGAATTATGTGGTTGTTTAGCCATTTGGTTAATCATTGTTTAGTTATTACCCCTTATGAGATTTATACTAAATTAAGGATTTTGGTGGCCAAATTTTGTCTGAAATGTTGTTGTTGTTGTGGTTTGG